AGCATTTGGGAAGATTTCGATAAAGAAAGGAAGACGAAATTTGCAGTATAAAATGATATCATTCTATTTCACAGGTTCTCATCAGCTGCAGACTACCTGAAATTACAATGGTTATATAAATAATAATAACATACTTTAATGTTTGAGTAGTAGTAGAGAAGAGATAAAATTGACGCATCCAAAAAAGAATGAAAGCATTACAATTTTTAGTTTAAGTTATCATCATCAATTTATACACTTTCAGAGTTGAAAAGAGGGGGGAGGAGTAAGACAGAAAACAGAAAAATTGATTAACAGAAACAGTGTTAGCTTGTAGGTTCACATAGCAACTCCAAAAAACAAAGGTGGTTACAGTTTATGAGATTAAGATTTGTTCAGTGAGTTGAGATCCCTAAATTAGATGACTAATTATTGTAATCAAAATCAAAGTCCAGTTACCAAGGGAGCGAGAGGTTAATCACACTCTCTTTCTGTATGCATAAGTCTGGTTTAAATCGTTTGATTGCGATCGCTTCGGCAAATCGTAGTAAATTTGCTGTCTTTTGTCTATTTACTATTTTGAAGGACTTAGAAATCTCTACGAGATGTCCGTATCAACAATATGTCTGGTAATTGCACTCTGAGAATATTTGCTTCCTTTCAGGTATAGGTTTCTTGGAATATGTTCAGAAAACCGCATAGAAGCCCTTCTTTCTGTCCTTCCAATGTACTTGTTCCCGCAAGTGCACGTAAATTCATAAACGCAGTTGTAGGTGACATCAGCAGGGTATTTATCCAGTTTTGAGTGGATTATAGAAGGAGTGGTGTTGTATACTGTTGTGAGTTTCGCTGCCGGGAAGCTTCTATTTATTGCTCCTTTCAGTTTTCTGTCAATCTTTTGTGACACTGCATCTCCTTTGAATGGGAGGGAGACAAATAAACACTTTTTTCTTTTCTACAGTTGGATGCTTTTCTTTCTTATCTTTTTCTCTGCTATACTTCTGTATAAATCCTTTAAGGTATCCATTTTCCCTCAGGCATTTCTCGACGAAATCTAGTTCTTCTCCGACCTTGTTTGGTGAACATAGCTTCCTGGCTCTGTCGTACAAAGTCCTCACTAATCCACGTTTATAGCTTATGGGACAAAAGCTGTTGGGAAGAATCTCAGACGAAATCATATATCCTCAACTCACTTACACAAAAACCACACACTCTCAATCACGTCGATGGCCTCTGATCCAGACTATCCGTACTGGAGCGGAATATCTGATGACAAACGAACAGTCTTCGAGAAGTAAGCCAATACAGTTACAAAGAAGAGAACGCATGACATCATTATGAAATTAAACCAAAGTCTAAGTCTTTCTTGTCCTGAGAAATACGTGTTCAGTTATTCTGATGTCTTACTACTGTCAAGAATACATTAATTCAACGAACTGCATACTGATTAAGCAATCCTCCCGTTCAACTGAAATACCTATATATATTCAGCAAAAGTCTGCTCCATTTGCATTCACCACGTTTCCAAATAAATGATATAGTTAATGATATATATTCTATAGATAATCAGACAAATCTTACAAATTTTATTTTGGTTGAATAATTTTCATCTTGATAATACGTACTAATTTTTTCGCATCACAACATCAGAAATTATTCTAACAGGATTTTAATTCATAGGAAAAACAACAGATCATTATTGGATTATATTCAGGGAAAAAAAGAAATTTTGGTTGTTTTCTTTAGGGAGTGGAATTAGACTGTTTCTTGGTTCTGAAATTCTCTTCATTGTCAGTTGTCCAGAACGGGAAAAGATCCTGAACCTTTCGCTGTTGCAGAAAACTAATCACTCCAACTGGAAATACTGTATGCAGTAACCGACTCGAGAATATGAGAACGCAGATTGGTGATTCGAGGATTATTTATTTCTTCACTGACAATGAACCAGAACTACAGGGTTTCTGAGCATAAAGTCAATAAATGAACATCAGTATAAACCACAATAATACTTTTGATCGTTTTTCTCTAGTCTTCTGTCAAACAATGTAGGATTAAACGATGTCCGCCATTGTTGCCTCTCACCAAACTGAAGGTCATTTTGAATAAACAAACTAAATGTCGCTCATTCCATGTTCACCAACATTGACAGTTTCTGTGAAGCAAAACAGTTGTATAGTACTTCATTTTTTCGCATTAGAGACAATTCGATATCGCAAGATGATTCATATAGTTTCCATTTTACAGCTGCTTTCAAATCTTGTGAATATTCCTTGATAATATTAACTTTATGTCTTGTTTGAAATCTTATGGTTCAGAGAATGAAGTCATTGAGGCGTAAACTTAGGTTTAGCTTTTAATGACACATATCTGTGATCCATCTCTTTTCAAAAAGATTTCTCCGTCAAACTGTTCTAGTAAGAATGATATGTTTCATGGTGAAATGATCTCGAAATGATACGATAACTGGTATATTTCGAATTGTAGTCTATGTCACCACAGTTAATAAACTGATTTCTGGTTCTATGTCACATGTGGCTGTAATATATGTACTTACAGTTTTTATTTTATTTTTATTTTGATTACAGCTTGATGCCACACCGTATTTTTGGTACAAGTATGGAATTTCCAGCATGTATATCGGTGGCCCAAATTTTGCAGGCCTACCATAGATATCGGGTGTGCATCGGCAGGGGATCGAACTTCGGACCATGTGCATGGTCGGTGAGAGTTCTAACCGCTGTGCCACCGACGCACAGCGGTTTGCCCATTTTTCATTGTTGTTAGCATTTTAAATGTTGAAACACGAGAAGTGTACAGATACTTGAGTGTGCAAACAGCCAAGACAGAAGTTTAGAGTGTGGTAAATTCAAGACTGACATGCTTAGCAGAATTAATGAACAAAGTAACTTTATGTACAAAGTTTAGTATTTAGTAAAACAGAAATCCTGACTAGCCTAGGTCTCCTGCCTGTCAGGATGTAGCTCATGTTTTATTAGATATATGTTGAATTACAAAAATATGTTATGCAATGCTAAAAAATACGCCAAACCTACACGAGAATACAGTACTTATTTTAACTGGTAAAATGTAACATTTTTCTAAATATACTCTTTGCTTGAATTGTTTAAACTATTATCGATTCACTTTTCAACATGTTTTTGTCATATCTAGATAAAGACAGTAGAAGCTAAAAAGATTATGTTAATGTAGCATGTAATTATTGATTGGACAAAGTTTCTCTTCGTTACAGTATGAATGATAATTAATGCAATTGTGAATGAATGTTGAATAAAGCTCAAGTAAGCGGAAATACTGGTAGACTGGCGTAAAACATTAAGACCAGCTGATAAGCTATATACTATATGAAGACTACAGAGATACTTTCACAGTCTTTATCTTTTCCACTTTTGTTTTATTGTATCAAAATGTAACTATTGAATTCTATCATGATTGTGTCTACAGTAATATGGAACGGAAATCGCTAGTCTGAATATCTCAGTGGTAACGTTTCTGACTGCAGCACTGTCTGATTAAGGTTCCAATCTAAGTAAGGAAATCGGATCCTCCAAGATACGCCTTGCTGAAGAGCAGTAACGAAACCTAGTTCATGCAAGGCTTCCTGGCAGTTGCCCTCAACCATTTAGTGGTAAATAAATCCCAAACAGGAAATTTGTGCATATTTTAGTGTTCTTTCAGAAGTGAAGACCAGGTTTCTTTTTACTTATATGATAGACAAGATAAGTTATTATCCATGAAGATCAGAGGAAGGTTCTTCTGAGACTTTAACCACTTAGCCAAAGAGTTTGTAAAAAGATACCACATAACGAATTTTGCAATCTACGATCGCTTCTTTGATCAACTAACCTAGAAGAATTTCATACCTACTCCAGTTGAGCATGGTGAAATCATCGTTAGTGTTATCAGAAAACAAATATTGAAGAGATATAACTTTTACTTTCACCAAGAGTGACTTAATTCATATGTGACACAGTATTAGAATGTGTGACATCCAGGTGACATCTAGGTGCATGGTTGTAAGAAATCAAATGATAATTTCAGAAGATATTTGTGTAACATTGTTTGTGCTGTAGGTTATTGGCTTCAGAATTAAAAAAGCCTACATATTCTTTATTATGACATTGATAAGAGAGTATTAAAGGTTGCAGAATACATACGTTGCATGAAATAATTTTGTGGATGGTGTCTGCCAGTGGAATTCAGTATACACACCTCGTCCCTTGAAGAACTCGTCAGCTGCATGACCTGCAATGGTGTTGTTTTAATGACACAAGTTTGGCAGGTATGGAATTTTCAGCATGTGATATCGGTAGCCAAATTTTGCAGGCCGACCATGATATCGGGTGTGCGTCGGCAGGGATCGAACCCGGACCATGTGCATGTTCAGCGAGAGTCCTAACCACTGTGCCACCGACGCACAGAGTTTCAAACACTAATGCGTTATCCATTGGGTCACGTGATTCACGAGGGCTACCATTTGAGTCACAAGAATCGAGGTTTAGAATGTTGGGTACCGGGTTCGAGCCTTAGTGGGAAGAACGTCTCCCATGGATGAAGAGTCCTAAATAGGGCGAAACGCGCACCTTGTATTCTACTGCTAGTCATCAACCAACAACCAACTTCAAATTAATCCTCACACTTTGTCGAAGCATTCTCACAAGGAGCCGAAATGCTGACAGAAGTAGAACACTTTGGTCTAGTCACTCAACGAGAAAATCAAAATTAAATCAAAAGTACATAATACACCTTCCGTTTTTATTGAAGTCTCTCTCGGTTGTTATGTAAAATTCGATATGCTTGATGACGTCTAATGAAAATTTCATCAATGTTGTGTATGAGTTCAAGAATAAGACCATGAATTATCAGGTAAAGGAACTGATGTTTTTAATTACTACTAAAATGGTTATATGTTTAAAACTACAAACTATGAACTGGACAGATTTCGTTCATTCATACAAAAACTTGTTTAAACAATTTTATGAGTAAGTAAACTTATCACTTACCTATCGAAAGTCCATGGACCAAACCGAAGATTACACTCTTGCATATCATAAGGGAAGTATTTAATCTTGACAGGACATGTACTCTTATAAATTGCCATTGGATGCCATTCCACTACACCATTATGATCAACTCGAGCAGCACACTCTCGTCTCTCTTCTAGACGTTCATCAGCACTGAAATAAAATGAATAAAACCAAAAATGTTTCAACCAAAGTGTGTGGTACATCTATGGCGTAATGACGATTAATAGGAAGAGGCCAAAATTGAAATCAACATTTTAAGTCAATGTCTGCAGAGGTAGAAGTGTCTATTCCTCAATTCTGGATTTCGTCTACGTTGTGGATATGAAACAACCTTATAGGCCAATCACCAACTAATCTCATCAGTTTATTATTCTCTGACCTAGAGAAACTTAAATGTGGCTAAGAATATATATAAATATTGTGTTTCTCTTCAATAAGAGTCTGCTAACCAGTCTATTACACATACCAGATTGTACAAACAATGAAGAAGAAATATTTAACTAAGTCCTATAGAAAAAAACTTTAAATTAATTACATGTTCTAAGTAAAATAGTACTTAAAGTTCACTTAGCCTCCAAATCGAAACAAAACAAATAATTTGTAAAAAACATCGAGGTACCATAATGGATAAGATTTTATTTTGATAAATCACACAGTGTAGTACAGTTATATTAACTGATGACGTTTCGAGCACAAACTATTGCTCATAATCATATCAAGTTACTCACAAAACTTCTTTCCTTCATTTATATACATGTGTGGAATCGACTAGATATTGGAATAAAATTCAATATGAGATAATGTACATTCAGAAATAATAGTACGAGTGTTATTAATCCATTGCAATTAGATGGGAAATACGACGAGTGTTTTTATAATCATAATAAGTTAATTGTTAGAATGTTATGATGTGCTTGAATGGAAATAGAATTTTAAGACTATTTATCATCCTCTTCTGATTTGACTGGCGGCAGTAATATCTTCCATATTTATGGTATTTGCATTGAGTCACTTCTGTTGCATGTGTTGGGTGTAGACTCGATGAATAAGGATTCCGTAATCAACCTCTCTCTCCATCTACCTATATTACTTTTTAGAATTTTAACCCTATCCCACCCTATTGTGTGGTTGTTTGTTATTGCGTGAAGTGCAATAGCTGAGCTTTTTTCTAAATTACTTATCTTTTCAGAGTCAATCATTTTTCCCTTAGCTAAATTCTTATGTTCTGATAATCTGACTATCCCTGACCTACTAGTTTGACCTATGTAGTTGACTTCACAGTCATTGCAAGGTATTTTGTAAATTATATTATTTTGTTTAATTGGGTCCAACGGGTCTTTAACCTACAAAGTTTGTCATTCTGCGTATTAGTTCTGCTGTAGATTTCTGAACCTTATTCATTATTGTATCTACAGGCTTCTTAATTTCCTCATATGGACCATATATGTAGGTTAAGGGGCCCGTTGGACCCAATTAAACAAAATAATATAATTTACAAAATACCTTGCAATGACTGTGAAGTCAACTACATAGGTCAAACTAGTAGGTCAGGGATAGTCAGATTATCAGAACATAAGAATTTAGCTAAGGGAAAAATGATTGACTCTGAAAAGATAAGTAATTTAGAAAAAAGCTCAGCTATTGCACTTCACGCAATAACAAACAACCACACAATAGGGTGGGATAGGGTTAAAATTCTAAAAAGTAATATAGGTAGATGGAGAGAGAGGTTGATTACGGAATCCTTATTCATCGAGTCTACACCCAACACATGCAACAGAAGTGACTCAATGCAAATACCATAAATATGGAAGATATTACTGCCGCCAGTCAAATCAGAAGAGGATGATAAATAGTCTTAAAATTCTATTTCCATTCAAGCACATCATAACATTCTAACAATTAACTTATTATGATTATAAAAACACTCGTCGTATTTCCCATCTAATTGCAATGGATTAATAACACTCGTACTATTATTTCTGAATGTACATTATCTCATATTGAATTTTATTCCAATATCTAGTCGATTCCACACATGTATATAAATGAAGGAAAGAAGTTTTGTGAGTAACTTGATATGATTATGAGCAATAGTTTGTGCTCGAAACGTCATCAGTTAATATAACTGTACTACACTGTGTGATTTATCAAAATAAAATCTTATCCATTATGGAATTATACTCTACCACAGTGCCCAATTTTTATACTTATATCAATAAAACATCGAGGTACCATATGTTCCAAACAGCATAGGCTATCGCAATTCGCGTGAAACAACCAGTGCTCTGTGTGCCGAAGAAGCAAGTCCAGCCACTACTACCACTCTGGCCGGCCTTCAGTGGAGACTATAAATTTATGAATTTGTATTTTTATCTTTCCTAATTTCTCTGATATTCAGTGTATTGTTATGTTGATGCTTTGAACTGTAATTATTGATATTATTATTGACTCAATGCTATTTAAACATCAATATTGTTAATAAATTCATTCATTATTATGTATATATAACTGTAGAACCTGATGAGGAGCAGGTTATCGAGAAGAATATTCTTTGTTTAGTAACCATTCTTTGACAAAAATGTATTTCTCTTAAAATATTGTAAGCATTAACAATTTCATCTGTGCTAAAATTGTGAAATATTCAAAATATTCTTTCATCAAATAACCATATCAAGGCTAAGGAAACAAGTTAAATGAATTTAATTTTTGTCAGCTTCGAAAACCGCAAAAGTGAAGTCGAACTATTAGTGAGAATTTTTAAAACTAAGAAAAGTCTGTTCAAATATCCTCTGGAGTTTATAGTTTCTCATACTGGTTTTGCTCAAAAGCTTACAGGTTCAATACCAACACCACTGAAGATCACCTGTGACTGACGGCACACATACATATCAATGTTGAAAAACACTCAACAGGTATTAATCTAAAGCAACTAATCATGATTTTTTAAGGAATCAAAAGTGATGAATTTTCTTTTGGATCTAGAGTTCACTGTTGAAATTATTCCGTGAAATGATTCAAATATCCATTCGATAATTTCTCCTCACACACACATTTCATATTTATCCAGATGGCGTGTCAAGGTGTGTTTTAACAACAAACATTTCTAAATTACTTGAATTTCTGAAACTCCTTCTTCTTTAACTTTCGAAGGTATAAGTTTTGTAGCAGATTCAGACAATTTACGAGGATTAAAGGAGAGGATCTGTGTAGAGAATGCATTGTTTAGAAGGATTTCCAGTACCTAAAACAAGTGACGAATCAACTTGAAATTCGTGCGGATAGTACAAGTCCCAATGTTTCTTATTGTTTCTGTATATAAGAGGATTGTGATGCTTTGACGACTTTCATTACACTTGGATCACTGACTTTTAGAGACTGTAGTGTGTCATCATACCTAATGACTGACTCATGAACTTTTAAATCTTGAAACTGATACTTTGATTGCCACCAGAGTTGACAGATGAAACACTTCAGTTGCATTATAAACGTAACTGAGACTTTTCAGAAAGGCGTATCAATTTCTGTATATTTGCATTACTGACTAATGCGTCTTTTTCCTCACGCGAAATTTAAGTATGTCTTTATTCCATATTGTCATCAGTTAACTTGAAGTTGACAAAATAATCAAAATAAACTCGTCTTAGGCTATTCAGTAAGGTCACTTTTAAGCTTGAAGTCACAGATTGTCCATCTGATAATGACGATTATCATTAATATCAAAAAAATTTTTTAACAAAGGATCTAACCCACTATCCCGTTTAAATGGACCACTTTTTCTTAGTGAAATGATATTTGTAATCTTGAACAACTGTTTTTTTTCGTTTTTATCAGATAGAATAATATTTCATCTTATTTCTTGGATTATCTTGGATTCAAAATCTCAGGATTAAAATGTTACATTTTCAAATTCTACTTTAATCAACGGTTAAGTCTCAAACAGTTAGTTATCCTTCACTATTTCTCTGTATTACTTAACTATGTTTGCCAACTTATGTCTACTGTCGACTGAAAGATTACTAGGCAGATTACGTAGTATAGGCAATGGTATTTTTTTCCTCTCCTCTGCATTATTTATATATATATTTTTATCCCTAATTCATTTTTGGTTTCACTTATAAAATGTTACAAATAGAAGTAGTGAAAATTTCTGTTTAGCACGCAATTTTCCTATAAAAATGATGAAGAGAGAGATGGAGAGTGGAGAGGGGAAAAATTTTCCTCTCCATTATTCCATCAAGAGTATTTGAAGCAAAGAGTAAAATAGCGATTTCGTCTTTTTATTTATACATTTATGCATTTGTCTATTTCTTCATGTATACACTGACACCATTTTAGCTAATGCTGAAACTAGGCTGTCGCATCCACACACACACACACGCATGCATCATCCTCTACAGCTGTCATCCTAATGTGTGAACGTAATTATCAACCTATCAATACGGGTGAATAATCAGCCAGTTTAGAGAAATGATTCTAAGTGTCTTTGTGGATATATATAGTAAGCTATGAGCCGAAACCCTTGAGTTAGCCATTAACGTAATATATGGAAGTGTGACAACGGCTGGTAAGAGTTCTTTATCACCATACCATGTTATGTTATGAAATGTTAAATGCACCTTTTATTAAGCTCTGGAGTGTATGTCAAGAAAAGTTCTGATATTTAGAAAGAAAGAAGTGTAGTAATTCCGTTAAAAGCACTATTATTAGGTACATAAAACTTTCATGGCAGTTGGATAAGAGTTTTTGACTGATTTGAGAATAGATTTAGTACAAAGAAATTATCGTAATTCAAGTTGATGAAGGCAAAAGTGTACTTATGACTATAAAGTTACATAGTTTACCATCTATCAGCACAAGTACTATTAAATAGTTACATAATAACGTCTTGATGACTTGTAGAAATTTATTTTGTGAAAAGTAGCGGTTTTTCCCCGTTATTATCTTAGTTTACCTGGACGGGAAGAAAGTTCTACTGACGCTGAGCAGTTGACATGAATTAGAAGTCAGTAAACAAATATGTGGAGTACTCAATAACAATCTCGGTTTTGATTTTATATAGGATTGAAGATGCTAATGTACTTTATATCAAAGAACGTTTATAGCTCAGGTGGATGACTTCGATTTCGGTGTGTTCTTTGAGCTGATTC